GAGAACAGAATCTGAAACAGGCTCCAGGCTCTGAGCTGTCAGCATGGAACACGACACAGGCCTCGAACTCGCGAACCAGTGAACCGCGAGATCATGACCTGAGCCGAAGTCGGACGCTTAACTGACTGAGCCACCCAGCCCTCCCGGGAAACGACTTTTAACTGCAATCGTATTTATTCTAAACACAATTCGAGGATGCCAACAACATATAATTTCTGACCCTTGCTGATCTGTACCGATGGGTTTTTATGAGCCAAGACTTCCATGCATCCGAGGGGGGGACACGGAGGCCATGGGGGCCAAGGTTGCCTGGGGGGGCAAGGGTTCACGGGAACAAAAGTGCACAGAAAACGTGGGCGCGCAGTTTGATCCGCACACTTGAGGTTGCCGGCCGCTCTGGTTTCTCTCCATTAGTAGCGTCCGCAGACCTTCTCACCTGCCACACCGCTCGGTAAATGAACCCGCCTCTGGGCGCGTGTAGCCCACTCCTCCTGCCGGTGCTAATGAGCAGTGAAAGGACCCGGTGCTGAGCAGCGGGAGGTGAAAGACAGGGTCTGGCTAATTGACAACATAGGTAATTGCTTCCTGAATAATTGAGGGGCATCTCTGGGGGAGGGAGCTCGGGCTCAGCTTGTGTCCGAGCTGTGCACCAGGGAGGCTGTGACCCCGTCCTTCCCGGCCTGGTCCCGCCGGAAGGCGCAGGTCGCCGGAGCGTGGGGTGGCCGGCAGTGGGGACCCCGCGCCCCTCCCTGGGGTTCGCTGCTGTGGCCCAATGAGCACCTTCCCACAGAAAGCAACCTCTAAGGACTGGAGGGACCAGAGCAGCGTGTGAGGCTTCGATATCGTTAATGTTCTACGATCTTCACGGAGCCTCAACCTGAAGGAAGTGTGCACTTTGTGGGGTGGGGGCGATGACAGAGGGAAAATCATAAAAGCGTCCTGACTCCAAGGGTGACGTCCCGTATTACAAACCAGTTCACTCTCTCTTCAGCAAATCAGCGTGATCGCTTTCGTTGGCTCCAAAGTAAATGTCTTACGTTTGAGCCTTTTCTTTAAGAATAAAACCGTTTAAAATTCCTAAGAAAAACCTCTCCTTATTTTAAAACTGAGCGCCCGACTTAGAAACAAAAGCGTTCCCGCTAAGTGCGGCTTTGAGGCTCCGCTTTCCAGATGTGCTTTGCTGGAGAGGGATGGGAACGCAGTGAGGCGATGACGGCAGGGTTGCCCCTCGCGGGCTCCGGGGAGGAGCAGACCTGAGATGACCCTGACGTGGCATCACCCACTGATGCCTCAGAGGCACTGGAGGAACTAAGTGGGCACCACGGTCCACCAGGCGCAGAGGGCAGCCGCCAGCCACAGGGGAGCCACAGGAGGAGACGAGGAGGTGAGAAGGCGGGCGAGACCAGGGTCTCACAGGAGCCGGTGTGTGAATGAGCTCGTGCTGTTAGCTCACCTTCGACCACACGCTTGTAGGCGTAAACGTCAGGACATGAACACGCTCCTCAAACTCTGGGTGACAAATCGCACGCTTTCTGCTTAACCTGAACTTCACCGGCGCTTTGCGCATTGACACATCTGAGCGCAAGTAAAATGCAAAACCATTTCGAGCTCTTCATTCGGGGTCGTTGGCTGAAAGAGAAAGAAAAGGGAGCCCCCGTGTGCTTCGTGCCTCCCGTATGTTTGCCAAATTACCCCGAGTCACCCTGACAGCGAGCGGAACGTGTCACGGAGCCCTGAACTTCAAGCGGGATCAGCGCTGCGACAAACACGTACAAGAGTGGCGTGCGATGGCCCCAAGGTAGACCCCAGGTTGGGTGAGGGGTAACATCAGCGAGAGGGGTACTGTGGCGTAGCGGGAAAGCGCGGTTCGTGTAACGAGGGATTAGCGGCAGAGCTCACTTCTCCTGGAAGGAAATAAGATCGTCCTTCTATATGTAAAGTATGGATTAAAAATTTAAACGTAAAAAAAATAATATAATCCTCACACAACTATATGAGCAGTTAGCAAATGAGGCTGAGTTTTTCCATTTAATACCCACAGAGGGATGCCAGCCTCGCACCCTTTGGCCGCAAGGTCTGTCCTACGCAACAGGCGGGTTTCCCATCAGAGACTGCAGAGGCTGAGTGCCAGGAACGGAGGGTGAGTGGCCCCTGTGCTCCTAGGCGGGGAGGGAGCGGGCTGAGCCCGCCCTCCCCTCCTCGGGTGCCCTGAGCGCACCCCCAAGCCCGCGGACCTCTTTGCACATCCCATTCCCTCTGCCTGGAACATGAGCACCCCACCCACTTTTAATCTAAACCCAGCAATTAGCCTTTAAAACTCAGATCAGATTCCACCCCTCCCCAGAGAGCCCCCCTGGCCCTCCCAGAATGGGTTGGCTGCAGCGCGTCCCAACGTCCTCGTGCCCCAGTGAGAACGGCTTTCAGGTCATCTACCCTAGCAGAAAGCTAGTGCTCGGCGTTGAACTCCTTAAACAGTAGCAGTTCACCCCACGATCGCTGCATCCGCAGTCCTACGGCCTGGCGGGCCACGTGGCAGGAAACACAGCATTTCCACGGAACGTGGCCTGGTACGTTCTCCATCACCTCCTGAGGGTTAGCCCACTCTTGCTCTGGGTCACACGGGCCCCACCTGCCTTGCCAGCATTCCACAGTGTTTGGAAAATGTTGCCAGGTAGGGAAGCAATTTTGGAGCATCGATGCATTATCCCGAGGTGCTGTTGACTCACACCACGAACCCGCACAGCGTGCCTGCCCTCGGGGATCTCGCACCCTGTGCCCCGGCTGCGATGCCAGAGCAAGGGCGGGAAGGCAGGCGCACAGCGGAGCCTGCATCACGCTGACTGTTCTTGAAACGTCCCTCACGGCCATCTTTGTCTTCTTGCGTCTCTGTTCCGGACAACCGCACTCCAGGAGGGAGCCACCACCCCGACGGGGCTCCTTCTCCCAGCGCCGTCCGTCTCTGCGGACACCCCCTTGCTCCCACCACAGGCTCTCAACCCCCGCTGAATCAATTTGTTTCCACAATACACTTGAGACATCCCAGCCCCGTGCCCAAGGGTCGGCTGCAGCTGTACACCCACCGGGGCAGCAGGGCCCCCTCTGGGTGTGCCAGGCCCTCGACGTGCCCCCCCCTCTCCCCGAGGCCGCGGCCCCCAGCCCCCACCCACTCGTCAGGACCGACCTTGCTGGCACCAGCTCCGTGACGGCCAGCTTCCCAGGAAACACACCCACCCACTCCCACTCCCTCTCTCTCGCCCACGACTGGGTCTCTCGTGTCTCCATACAGGCTTAAAACACGACCTGTTTCTTGTTTCGTTCAGATAGTGCTTCAGCCGCGAAGATTCCCCTGTGAAGCCCTTTCTCCGTGACCCGCCTCACTCTGGCTGCTCGCCTTCTCAGATCCGAATCTGATTGAATCTACAGCCCTACATCTGCACACACACACGTCTTCCGTTAAAAGACACGACACTCATTAAATGAGCTATGTTTTTTATTGTATATGTGTTTCATTTGCCGCCATACTCAGCACACAGTATTAATGAATGAGGGTCTGGCGGTCAGTCGGCGGGAACACTAACTCAGGAGCCTGGTGTCGCACTGCCTGAGCGTTGCGTCCGCAAAGAGCCACCCCTCGCCGGCAGCTGCTTGTGACAGCAGACCTGCCCTGCTCTCTCCCTCGTGGGAGTCTGACCGACCACATGCCCTTACGACCCTTCTGTGCCCCGCTGCGACCTTCTCGTCCTAAATTGCAGGGCAGGCAAACCATGCATGGAGGAGAGGACACTTCGTGCCCCTGTCTTCTGCCTCCTGGTAGCTTGGGTGGGCAAGGACATCACAGATGGGGCTGAAATTTCCTGTCCTCATAATCAGACGGACCGTTCTTACCGCTCTCCTCCCATCAGCCCCCTTGTTCTGTTGAGTGAAATTCTCCTACTATGCGACTTTGCGTGTATAAATTATCCAGACATGTGGAAATACTGGGTGTACCAATACACTAGCACATGTCCGTCCCTCCAGCACTGGTCTTAAAAATGATGTGTAGGGGCACCTGGGTGGCTCAGTCGGTTAAGCGTCTGACTTCAGCTTGGGTCATGATCTCGTGGTCTGTGCGTTCAAGCCCCGTGTCGGGCTCTGTGCTGACAGCTCAGAGCCTGGAGCTGCTTCGGAGTCTGTGTCTCCCTCTCTCTCTGCTCCTCCCTGGCTCGTGTTCTCTCTCTCTCTTTCTCTCTCTCTCTCCCTCCCTCTCAAAAATAAATGAGTAAACATTAAAAAAAAAAATGTGTAGAGACAAGTGGCTTGGTTTCAGGGCCCTGAAACAAAACTCCTAGTTAGACGGTCTTGGGCAAGTCCCATCTACAAAACAGTTGTAAAGATACCTTTCTTAGAAAATTGTGAGGATCAGACACAATAACACGCAAAAATGCTCGGTAGTCTGTGACCTGTGAAACGGGCTGGTTACCATGAGCAAAGGGCCTCGTCCCTGGAAAGCATCCTAATGATTTGGAGCAGTGTGGATGGTGATTATACCCGGAACTAGATGACATGGCATCAGCCCCCGGCTTAGACATGTCCTGCCACACCTGCCCGCCCCCCTTAACTGTGTGATCGGATTCAACTTTGGGTTCCAAGGAGATTCCAGCCTACACGTATGAACCTTCCTGCAAACATAAGGGCTACCTCTCAGGTGCTGGCTACAAAGTGCGACTCGGAACTCCCGCCAAGGTCTCCCAATCGGTCTTTGAAAAGGGCAAAGAGGCTGTGCTTAAGCTTCATCAAAGCGCCCTCCCCCCCCACCCCGTTACAGAGGGTGGGGCCTCCCGCTGACCTTGCATCCCCTGCAAGGTCAAGGTCCGCTTTGCTTTGTTAAGTGACACAGTTAGATTGCCTGGTGCTTTCCCCCCACGTCGCTCTCCCAGAGGGTTGCTCCATAGCCACTAAGACACCCGTGTTTGGCCACATGCGCTGCTGACCGAACTGACCGCCTGCTCGTCTATCTGCAGATGGAGGTGGACGCCGAGGAGAAGCGCCATCGGACACGGTCCAAAGGGGTTCGAGGTAGGTCCGCGCTTCTCCAAGCCCCCGGAGGCCCCGTTCAGGGTCCCCTTTGTCCTGCGGAGCTGGGTGTGAGGGTCACTCGGACCTGCTCTGACACCACCCTCTCAATAGCTTTCTGTGGGAGAGGGCGCGTGTGATCGATGATAAATCTCTGTTTCCCATCTCTCTGCAGTTCCCGTGGAACCAGCCATACAGGAGCCCTTCAGGTTAGTACTCCGTGGGCACGATGTATCCCCAGAAGCCGTGTAGAGAACCCATGCCTTTTAATGGGCACACTGCTCCCCTCCCGCCCCCGGTCTGTCGGCAGCTTGCTCCTACCCTGCTGCACTGATGGAGGCAACTCCCTGAGACCTGCTAAGAAAAAGCAGCCCTAATTGTTCCCTCCTCCCAGATTTGCCTCCTCTCCGTCCCTCTGTGTGCCCCTCCCCCGATGCCACCAAGCGCTCGGTCCCACCCGCCTGCAGCGAAGCCCCCATGTAATTACCTCTTTCCCGTTGCAGCTGTCCCACGCCGGGCTGTGATGGCAGCGGTCACGTCAGTGGCAAATACGCAAGACACAGAAGGTAACGGCCGCCTTTTTCACTATATACGGTCTACAGTGGCTTGTTGAGGGACCCAGACCCAAGGACGAAAATGAGTGGGGGGTATTCCTGGAAAAGAGTGAGTGCTGTCTTTTCCTCCACTCCTCTGCTGTGAATTCAGCCTTTGGTTTCCCGGGCAGGGTCTCAGAGGGTGGGCAGAATTCACGATAATACATAAGATGACACAAATTAAGACCAGCCTTAAACTCATTTTCCCACACACACAGGGCACCTGCTAAGAGCCTCCCTCTGCCTCACTGGGATGGCTTATTTGTCCGTGCCCTCGTGCTCATTCTGGTAGCTGCAGGGTGGCAAGTCACAGATGGTAAATTAAAGTGTGACCTTCCTGATCCTTCTGGAGGAGCTCAGCTTCCATAATTTATCTGTCCTGGGAAAGGAAGCCCAGGTGGGCACCTGGGCAGCTGCTGGGGGAGGTCCCGGCAGGAGATTAACGTCCAGGACAGATCACACTAATGAGACTTTGGGGCTTAAACGATTATATTATTCTTGCAAACACTGGAGTTTAGGTCCATAACGGCACTGGGTGTGAACATCCAGGAGATCAGGTGGCTAGATAATTATTGCTAAAAACGCATCACAGCAGAATTGTATTGCACATCTAGGGCTGAGAGTCGTGAAGAGATCAATCTTTAGATTTACTTTTGCATAAGGAATTTCTTCCCTGTGCTATTAATGTAGCTTTACCTTTCAAGGGAAGGTTTCGGTCGTGAGGAGTTGGAGATGTTTACAGGCTAGAATAAATTTTTAGCTAATTTTTCACAAATTAGGTTGCGAGGACTAAGGTCGTTCATCCTAACAAACCATCAAGAAGGAAGCCCACGTAATGAAAGCTCAGACCCTCGACCAGGTGTGCCTGAAACACCTCAGGGTGACCCTGCCTGTGCTGCCCTACGTTTCATTCCCTCTTTAGCTGAACATTAATTTATGGGTGAAATCAAGCAATTATTTTGATTGTCCTTCAGTAAAATCAAGGGGAAAATTACAACTTACTCCCCAAACCCCCATGCTAGCATCTAAGGAGACGGGGAATTTTTAACAAGCATCCATGATGAAATGGTTATCAGACTTCTCTACATACCAGAGGAACGACAGGTCGTTTCTAAGGGAATCTGGCAATTTAAAACCTAAATTCAATTTATCATATTATTATTGTTATTGTATATTATAGTAAATTACTGAGTATGTAAGTTAAATAATTAGTTTACTTAAAGTATGTTATTTTATTTTATAAGAATTTATTTTGTAAATTCTTAATCTAAAGGTTTTTAAAACCACATTGCTTATGTTTTCAATGAAAAACAAGTTAGCAAGCCATGAATGAAATCAAGGTTTTCCATTATTCCTCTCTTGATTAGTCAATAGTTAAAATTTATCATACTGTTACCGGAAGGAGTGATTACATTTGGCTAGAAAGTTTGAATTAGATGTTAGCTAGACAATTCATCACCACGGTTTTTCAGGAAAACCCATGACATTTCCAAAGAATCCTCTGAAACACATTCTTACCCAAGGCGCATCAAGCGGTGTGTCCGTGTCCCCACGTGACATGGGCGTGCACACCTGCCTGTGAGGTCTCTTTCCCCGCGTGCACAGAACTTTGGCGCTTAGCTTGGGGGTGGCCTCAAGACCACCAGCCTGCATTTTCTTCTGGGACACGATGCGGGTGTGAGCACAGAGCGTGCGAATCTTCCAGGAGTGATGGGGCTGGCACTTTAGAGAAGGGTCACGGAAACATCCAATTTTAGACAATTTTTCAACCCATTTCTAATTGAATTTAAAATAATGTCATAATTTTTATCACAAGTCATATTCTACGTAATTGTTAAAATTTCTAACATTTTGGTAGAAATAGTTAATGTGGTGGCGGCGGACGAAGGACTTTCCTCCAGCACCACAGCGCCACGAGTCAGCGAGGGGCATTGGACAGATTACTGAACATTTAGGACTTCGATTTCCTCAGTTTTTGAATGAGATACTTACAGACTTTGTTATGTAGAACTAATCACCATTGAGAACTCATGTGACCACATAAGCCGCTTCTCGACAAGACTGTCAGGGCTGTCCATTTTATTTTTGATGTCTATATGTTGTCAATAATTCTCTACGACAGTAGACACACAATGTTACATTAGCATCAGGCGTGCAGCACAATAATCTGACAGCTCTATACGTTGGGCTGTGACCATCACAAGTGTAGTCATCATCTGTCCCCGTACGACACCGTTACAGTATCGCCGACCGTGTCCCCTGTGCTCTGCCTCTCATCCCCATGACTCACTCATTCCGTGACCAGAAGCTGTGTCTCCTCCGTCCCTTCACCCGTCTTCCCCCTTCCCCACCCCCATCCCTCTGGCAGCCACCAGTTCGTCCTCTGTACGTAGAGGTCCGATTCTGCTTTTTGTGTGTTTCTTTGGCTTTTTTTTAGGTTCCCCATATGTATTTGCCTTTCTCCGACTTATTTTACTTAGCATAATACCTTCTTTTTATGGCTGAATAATATTCCTACATATATATACACATACGACGTGGTTTTTCTCCACTCACCTACCAAGAGACACTCGGGCTGCTTCCATATCTTGGTGATTATAGCTAATGTTGCAATAAACATAGGGGTGCATAGAGCTTCTCAAATTAGTGTTTCATTCCATCTGGGCAAATGCCTAGTAGTGAAACCACTGGATCATAGAGTAGCTCTGTTTTCAGTTTTCTGAGGAGCCTCCACCCTGGTCTCCGGTGCTGCTGCACCAGTTTGCATTCCCGCCAACAGCGCACGAGGGTTCTTTCCCCACCTCCTCGCCAGCACTTGTTTCTTGCGTGGTTGATTTTAGCCATTTCTGACAGGTGTGAGGTGATGTCTCATTGTAGTTTTTGATTTTCATTTCCCTAGTGATTATATATTACCGGTAATTTTTAACTAAGGGATGACATTTGAACTACTTAAACCGAAAAGGTGCTTCTCGTAGTAGATGAGACTCATGTATACATTAACATCTTGTGACTGGTGTTATTTCAAATCTGTAACATTTCAATTATTTCTGGCTTTAAAAGATTCCCTGCTACCGAAGTCTCTCCCCTCTGACAGCTATTTATGTACATAAGTGTCTGCACGCACCCCACAGCCCAGGTGTGGCCCTGACCTCCGTACCCACACCACGGGTGTGGTCCTGACCTCGTACCCACAGCACAGGTGTGGCCTTGACTTCTCTGCTGTTCCATCCCCAACGAGACCCAGCCTCTTCCAGTGTGACAAGAGTGGCAGCCTGGGTCTTGGTTTTGATGAAATTACCCACCCTTTTGGTATTTTAGCAACATGATATTCAGGGAATGTATTTTCATTTTATTAGGGATATAATTTCATTTTATTCGTATATCATGTCAGTTCGTAGTCAAGCAAAAAGGTACTTTAGTATGTGGACACATCTATTTATTTGAACACGCGGAAAGTAATTCGAGGCAGGTGTGGGAAATCTATACTGCGCTTGAACAAAAGACAGCCTGTTCATGGGTATGTTTTTATTTTCTTTTAAGTGTATTTCTTTATTTTGAGGGGAAGGGGAGGGCAAAGAGCGAGAGAGAGGGAGGGAGAGAGTCCCCAGCCGGCTCTGTGCTGTCACTACACAGCCTGACATGGGGCTTGATCTCATGAACTGTGAGATCTTGACCTGAGCTTCAGTCAGACGCTCAACCACCTGAGCCCCCAGGTGCCCCCACGGGCATTTGTTTATGTTCATGGGTCATAAACAGTCTGAAGTAGCTGGTAAACACGTGTGCAACTCTGCACAATTAAAAGTTGGATCAAAGATGTAAATTAGGAAGCACATGAGGGAAACAGGAACATACTTTTACCAGAAACCCAGGATGTGTCAGGGGTTTGAGCAGAGCATTGCGTTTTGTTCTGAGTCTTTGGGCAGCTGAAGCAAAAATGGGAAAAAAGAAAGAGTTCCACTACCTGGTGCAAGTGGTACATCAGTCCCTTAGTGCCGGAGGTAAACACATCTGAATTGCCATCCAGTGACCAGCAGGGATCCAGGCTCAGTCAACACTCTGTGCCCTGGAAGACAGAATAAGGACCAGGCCCCTCATGAAGCTAATCAACATCAGAAACGTTTCTCTTCAGAAGCATCATTGGTATCTGGACACATGAGTCTGACTTCTGTTTTTCCCACCTGAGGTTTCGTGTTACCACCATACAAGTGTGACAAAAACACTACGGACTTGGCGATCAGGGCAGAAATAAGTCTCCTGTTATGAACCAGGGCACTAACATAGCCTCTTCTGTATGCAGTGAGTGATCTCTTCCTTTGGACTCACTGTCACACAGCCTCACATGTGGCTCAGTGAATTCTGCCTCCCTGAGTGCATACGACCTTTCTTAGCGATACTTACAGGTAGCTAGAGACCCTTGTGTATTTCAAACATGGGTCCAACTACGGGGCTTCTCTGTAGATGGGAAAACTCACTTCTTTTTCAATGTTTATTCATCTTTGAGAGAGACAGAACACAAGCATGGGAAGGGCAGAGAGAGGGGGAGACACAGAATCCGAAGCAGGCTCCAGGCTCCGAGCTGTCAGCACAGAGCCTGACGCGGGGCTCGAACTCATGGAGTGTGAGGTCATGACCTGAGCCGAAGTCGGACTCTCAGCCGACTGAGCCACCCAAGTGCCCCAAAACTACCTATCTTAAGTGGGTTTTCCAAAGTCTTTGATGCCCAAGTTCAGGGACAGGAGCTTCCTGAGCCCCCTCTGCTCTCCTCCTCATCACCTCCTTTCCCAGAGTGTAAGCATGTCAGATGCCCATGGGTGAAAAACCACTGGTTTCCCACATGTCCACAGCTATCTCTGCGGTGGGAAGGTGGCAGAGAAAATGGAATGTGTGGAAACTACACCCTTGGAATTCAGGGAGTTGCTGGCCCGTGAATGTGTTGGCGGAGAAGGGGCCAGGCCAGGTGGGAAGTGTGCAGA